CCCGGGCGCCGGCGCCCAGCAGGGACCAGCCTTTGCTGCCGGGCTCCTGAGGGGGAGGTTGAGCGGGGCCTTAATTAGTGCGGAGGAGGAAAGCGCCCGGCCGGGGAGGGGGTGGCTAATCGCCAGGGAGGACAGGCAGCCAGGCCAAGTCCATGCCAGGAACGAGGCACACCGTCCAGCCGTTAGCCGCGGGGTGACCCCTTCCCGCAGGGGCCGGCCGGGGCCTGTTGCCCCGCCTGGGTTGCAGGACCCCCGGCCCGGCCTGTCCCTGCATCAGCACCAGGGCTCTGGGCTGCCCCTGGGGCCGTGGGTTGGGCGGGGGTCTCAGAGCTGGGGGTGCCGGAGGTGACTCCGTTGGGGTGCTGCTGCTCAGCTGAGTGCAGCGCGGGGCATGTGGCCTGGGCGGGGGTCCCAGAGGCTGGGACAGCCTCTCTTCCCTGGGGACCGACTGCGACGCGGCTGCATTGTGGGGAGCCTGGAGCAGGTCCCACAGCCCTTCTTGGTGCTGCTGCCTCAGTTTCCCTGCAGGCTTGTGGCTTCTTTCTCTGGCAACACGGCACATCCTCACGGCTGGTGCAGGGCGTGCGGGGGTCGCATGCTGTGTGCACCGCCTGGCCCAGACCCCCTTGACCACCCCTGCCCTCTCCCCACAGCTGGAGGCGGCTGTGGGCCGCAGCTTGGCCGGCAGGGCGCGGGGACGGCGTGGGGGCCCTGAGACCGCGTCCAGGGCCCCAACGAGCCATGACCGCGACCGTGCAGACGCTGCGGTTCCAGCTGCTGCCGCAAGACGCCAGCCCGGGCTGGGCACGCAGCTGTGAGCAGGAGATTGAGCGCCAGTACCAGGTGGTGCCCTCTGTCGTCTGCGCCATGTGCTGCCTCTTTGGCATCATCTACTGCTTCTTCGGTGAGGAAGGACGGGGACGGGGGTGGGGACAGGGATGGTGTGACCCAGGGGTGGGGGCGACAAGGCGAAGGGGCACGCGGGGGAAGGGCACAGTCATCCTCCTGGTCACTCAGCCTGTGGGGGGGCTGACTCCCTGCCCCCCACAGCCGTCAGTCCACAGGTGTGTGGACACAGGGCACCACCCTGCAGCAGCTGGGCATGATGGGAGTACAGCCCCGTGCACACAACTAGCGTGCAGCTCATGCAAGGAGCTCATGGTGCTGCACCCCAGGCTGCAGCAGGCCCCAGGCCGCTCCCTGGAGCTCAGACATAAGGTCCTGGGGGTGAGGGTATGGGAGCCACAGGGAGGGGAAGGGGGGACACAGCAGTGGCAGCTCAGACCTGACTGCCCCAGCCATGGCCACAGCCACAGCCACAGCCAGGGCTTGCTGACAGCAAGAATAAGCTGGGAGAACAGCCCCACTGTGTCTCCGCCAGCCCAGCCTTGGGCTCTGTCCCTGCCGTCGCTTCCTAGAGGGGATGGGGGGGTTCAGGGACTGTGGCCTCATATTCTTTGACCGCCACAGCCTTGTCCCTGCCCTCGTGCCCCAGTATGGGATGGGGTACAGTGGGCGCTGTGGCCCCATATCCGCCAGCCACGGCCCTGGCCCTGCCCTTGCACCCTGGCCAGGGGTCCGGGGGTCTATGGCCCGGGCCGGGAGACGGCGCCCATTCTCCTGACAGCTCCCCTACCTCTCTCTCAGGCTACCGGTGCTTTAAGGCAGTGATGTTCCTGACGGGGCTAATGTTTGGCTCCATCGTCATCTTCATGCTGTGCTACAAGGAGCGGGTGCTGGACACACAGCTGAGCGTGGAGGCCTCGGTGGGCATCGGGCTGGGCATCGGCGTGCTGTGCGGGCTGGTCACCATGCTGGTGCGCAGCGTGGGGCTCTTCATGGTGGGGCTGCTGCTGGGGCTGCTGCTGGCCGTGGCCGGGCTGGTGGCCATGGAGCAGTTCTACCACCCGCCCACGGTGTGGGTGCCGCTGGGGCTGCTGCTGGGCGGGGGCCTGCTGTGCGCCGTGCTCACGCTGCAGTGGCAGCGCCTCTTCACCACACTCTCCACCGCCGTCTTCGGCAGCGCCGTCATGACCGTCACAGCTGACTACTTCCTTGAGCTCTTCCTGCTGGTGCAGTACGTCTACGAGCGCGTAAAGGCGGCACCCGCCCGCCCCGTCTGCTGGTACAGCTGGGTCGTGCTGGGCCTCTGGCCGCTGCTGGCCGTGCTGGGTGTCCTGGTGCAGTGGAAGGTCACGGCCGAGGGCTACTCGCACACCGAAGGTAGGGGAGGGGCTGCAGGTCTGGGGGTTGAAGGTCAGCGTCGGGCTCAAGCAACTGTGGGGTGCTGCTTCAGGGGTTAGGGCCCTGAGGGTGACCGTCTCAGCATCTGGGTATTGGGAACTCATGCCAGGAGTGTCAGCATCGGCTTTGGGGACAAGGAAGATGCGGGGTGTTGGTAGAGGCAGGGAGGTGGTGGGGAAGGGGCTGCAGGGCCTGGGTGGGCAGGCCCTGGGCATGGGAGGGGGGCCCCGGGGACATGGGTGCTGCCAGCCCCTCGCTCAGCCCCGGTCCCGTGCCCGTGTCGGTGCCGCCCGCAGTGATCATCAGCCGGCAGCAGCGCCGGGTGCAGCTGATGCGGATCAAGCAGCGGGAAGAGCGGAAGGAGAAGAAGAAGAAGCGGAGGCTGCACCCACCGGCCCCCCACCCTC